TATCGCTTTCTTCGATGGCCCGAACCAGCAGCGCGACCAGTTCCTTACGATGCTCAGCCTGCGTGCCGGACCGTTCGCCCTCGAGCTGGAGCGAAGATCCCATCGTGAAGCAACCTCTCTTGACGTGAGTCTTGTCAGGGAATCCAGAACTGATGACGCGATATTTTTGCCACAGTGTGCACGAGATGGTTCAGGAGGGAAAGAAACACACAGACACAATTAATCGTCGATTCCCCAGAAAATATGGGAAAATATGGGAAGTGTGGGGAAGACAAAAACCCGAAAACATGGGAAAATGTAGGGAATAGTTTTATTTGTGTATTTATTTGTGTGTCCTGGGGCCCCTTCAATGGTGGCGAGCCAGTGGGTTCTCCCCTTTCAGAGCTACCTCGCCGCCTTCCCTCGGTGGACCGCGCGCGGCCTGTGGCCATGGCGTTGCGGTGCGTCGGGCTGTGCAGCTCTCTCCCCCCCGCCTCGCCAGGCAGCAGGCAAACACTTCTGCAGGCAGGCCTCGGCGAAGAGGGACTTCGTCTCAGATCATCGATGCCATACGGCATGCTTTTTACACCGACGGTCTTTTCAACACCTTCGCGAGCCTAGGGAGGACGGGTTCCAGGGGAGAGTCGTCTTCCGTGTGCTTCCATTTTTCCACCAGTGGGCAAACGCGCGATTGAATCGCGAGTTGCATCTCCCGAACAAGCAGTGGTAGAACAGCGTCAACTTCAAAATTCGGCTCTCGTGGCGACTGGGCGTTGTCCACCTTGTGACACAGCTTCGGTCTTTCAAAGCCGACTGCGGTGAAAATCCCACGGAGTGTGGCCCGATCATAGGAGGTTGGTTGTGGTAGGACGGCGGCAGATTCTCTTTCACATTCTCTTTTCCTGCGTACCAGCACACAAAGACTTGTTACGACGATTTCTCGGAATAACCTGCGTGGTAAGGGGCAAGAGAGTGTTGCGATAATCTCGTGTCGATTTCATGCATGTATACTGGCACTTCCGTTAGATCTTGGCCCAGAGCGCTCAGCACGCGAGGCCACTCCTGGGTTGGCAGAGTCCCAAGGGGCCACAAGATACCCGCGTCACGAAGCATCAGCGCTTCAGCAACAACAGCGCATCCATCATCATCATCATCATCATCATCAGCAGCAGCAGCATCATCATCGCCATCACCATCACCATCATCAGCAACAGCAACATCATCATCCTCATCATCATCATCATCATCATCATCATCATCATCATCATCATCAGCACCATCACCACCACCACCACCACCACAATCATCATCATCATCATCATCATCATCATCATCATCATCATCATCATCATCATCATCATCATCATCATCATCATCATCATCATCATCATCATCATCATCATCATCATCATCATCATCATCATCATCATCATCATCATCATCATCATCATCGTCGTCATCATCACTATAAGCATCATCATCTTCCGACCCAGTCCCGATGCAGCCCGACTCGAAGCGCGATCCGATCCGATCCGACTTCCCAATTCGATGCTGACTGATACTACCCTTGCATCGTTTCGCCTTTTGGGGCCTCCTGGGAGGCCCTCGTCGCCACGGCTGGATTCGCCTCGACCTTCTGGTCGGAACGCATCCCGGGAGGGGACCGGTGAGTAGCGGCATTGGTATCTTCTTGGTTTCCCCAAGAACGGGAAGAAAATGTTCGGCCCGCCCAAGTGGGGCCAGGCAGTCGGTGCCTCAAACAACAAGCCAGCCTGCCGACAAATGCCCCACGGAAGTTCTTGCCTCCCGATGGCCCTGGGAGCCCGCTGAAGCTCTGGAGCATCGTGGGACCCTGAAAGGTCGACGGCACGAGTGGCAAATTTCTCTTCATAGGAAGATTTCTTGTCGCAGATAATCCACAAAGAGACCAACTACGACTGGGAAACGTGGTGGGAGAACGCGGAAAGGCAAAGGCCAAAGGCCAAAGGCACGACAAATAACTAGTTAGCAGACGAAATGGCCGACCCCATCGACGGCGAAAGGCTCGGGCAAGGGCAAGCGCAAGGGCAAACATCGAGGAAAGAGAAACGATGGGAAATGCGAGTGAACAGTAAAAGTCTGGTAAAAATCGCCGACCGTTGACTCCTCGCCGATGCGTCGGCTCTGCGGCACGACCCACCGCACGATCTGCTCCCCGCGTCGCCGGTGCATCGCCGATGCACCTGCGATCTGGCGCGACCTTCCAGCCGCATCTGCCGCGGCCCCGCGCGGGAGGCGGACTGCCGCGGCCCCGCGCGGGACGCGCTTGAGAGTCTGAGGGCGGCCTCGAGCCATCGCGGGCCTGTTGGCTCAGCAGGTTCGGCGTGCCCCGGGAGGATGCCGGAGGGCCTCCGGGGGAGCCAGGCTCTGGAATCCCTCTGCCCGGGCGCGCCACAGAAAACGGGGATGGGAACCCACTCGGGCGCCGCTGGGCCGAGAGGAGGAGGAGGAGGAGGAGGAGGAGGAGGAGGAGGAGGAGGAGGAGGAAGGAGGAGAGGAGGAGGAGCGAAGGAGGAGGAGGAGGAGGAGGAGGAGGAGGAGGGGAAGGAGGAGGAGCGGAGGAGGAGGAGGAGGAGGAGGAGGGGAAAGAGGAGTAGGAGAAGAGGGAAAAGAAGGGAGGAGGAGGAGGAGGAGGAGGGCGACGACCAGTGCAAACCCAAGACTCATCAACGATGTTGGAATTAACCCTCGCTCCAAGCTCCCTGTTCATAAGCCCCTACAACGGTTCATTTCCATTTAGGGAACTGCCTCGTTGGAAGACAACCGTTTGAAGATTTTGAAACATTCCAAAAAATTGTTCTCGGGATGTCCACGCCATGGATCAACCAGACTGCTGCCTCCTGACGATATGGAGTCGTACCAGAACGCCATTCTGGGACTTCAACACCGCGAATCAACAGAACTGTTGCACCCGCATAATCCTGAATCCCTCCCAAACACAATTTGTGGGACGTTGATCCTGGGAATCCGTGAAACCCTGCAAATGTTTAGTTAGAACGAATGTGCGCGGCGCTAAAGCGAGAACCACATTTTGAAAAGGAACAGCCCTCAATTCGTGAACATATTGCAACTGTTTAGTTAGAGCGAATGCGCGCGGCGCTAAGGCGAGAGCCACATTTTGAAAACGACCGGCCCTGAATCCGTGACACTCTTGCAAATGTTTGAAACGAATGTGCGCGGCGCTAAAGCGAGAGCCACGTTTTGAAAACGACCCGCCAACGATCCGTGAAACTCTTGCAAATGTTTCAAGAGAATGTGCGTGGCGCTAAAGCGAGAGCCACATTTTGAAAACGACCAGCCCTCCATCTGTGAAACTGTTGCCAATTTTTGAGCTTCAGAATCATAGATAATGAGAAAGTGTCATGCGAGACGCCCAGCCCGCCCTAAAAACTGGCCTCGGGGTGCGACAGGGAGAAATGATTTATGTGTTTTCCCCGTGGGCTTCCAACCGCCGTGACTTTCCCCACTTCGGGGGCTTGCAAACAGCCCGCACGTGGCGCTTACAAGCTGCAGCAAGAAAAAAAGAAAGCCCAGTGCCGCCAGAAAAAGGGCCACACTTTGTTGCGGCACGCTGGGGCTCTCACCAAATGGGGATGGCCACCGAACGCGCCAAAGCGTGATTAACAAATCCTCTGGTCAGCTGAACACGCGCATCTACAATGCGTGCGTGCACACTGGGCCAGACGGCACTAATCCGAGTCGTCCGAAGCATTGACTTCAAGTGAGCTTGGGACTGACTGCGCAGCACCTGCCGCGCGGCACAAACGTTGAACCTTATCCTGAAAAGCGCGGGCCCTATCCTCCTGCCTCAAAGCATCGACCACCGAACGGAGGGGGTTCGAAGGGTGGGCACCAGAGGGCCTCGGAGGCGGAGGGGCCACCGCGGCGCTAGACTGCGGCGGGTCAACGTTGAAAATACTAGAGCCGTCACGAAAATTTACATCCGCCTGGACCACCACCCCCCTTCTCTTAAGGTGACGGCCCTGACATATCTGCTGCCACGCCCACACACCAAACTTGGCGTGGAGCCCGCGCAGACTGCCGTGGGAAGTGTAGCATGTACACCTCATGCAAATAACCAGCTCAGCCCCGTCACTGCAGGGAAACATGACACACCTGTGCTCCAAATTATTAAGGCTGGCGACGCTACACGCTTTTAGTCCCGAGCACCGTCCCGGCAGGGGCTTTCCGCCATCCCGCGGACGACGGATCTGGATACACTTCGCGCAGCGCCCAAAACCTTCAGAACTAAACCATCTGTGCGTCTTGCCAGCAGGAGCTTGAGGGGCTCTTTCAACAGGGAGGTACTGATTATACTGGACATTTTTCGAAGCTCTGAGAGCGGAAAATTCAGGCAGCAGCTTGGCAGCCAGTTTACAAACGGCTCGAGCGAATTTAACGCAAAAGTCAGCTTCTTCCAACACCTCCTCGTCTCTGGGATGGAAAAAAAGGGCCTCTTTGGCCCCGAGGTCGGCCGTGTGGTTTCCGAGCCTGCGGGCCATCTCATCACGAGAGAGACCTTCATCATTCAGAGACAAATGGGCCTTGACCTTGACCACCTCGCGAATATGATGGCGCTCAGGACGGCCTAAAAAAGCTGCAGAAAAACACCAGTCTACATTATCTTGAAAAATATTTGGGCATCCCTGGGCAATACATGCTGTAGCTTGACGTTGACGCAATCGGTGTAGAGAGCGCTCGGGCCAGCAAGACACATGGTAGCACCCCAAGAACCCGAAAACTCGCCGGCCTGAGGGGTCTGGGACAGGGGAGCCCAAACAGGGCACTTCATTGTGCAAAGGAGCTCGTCTTCCTCCGAGAAGAGCGCCGCGCACCAAGACGGGAGAAAATATTTATAAGGAAGAGGAATGGAGGAGGAGCAGGAAGAGGAATGGAGGAGGAGGAGGAGGAAGAGGAGGAGGAGGAGGAGGAAGAGTCATGCTGCCCACCCTCTGCACGGCCCAGGGGGCAGGCGGCGGAGCCTGGGCGCACTTCAGGCCAGCCACGAGCAGCGTGGACACGACCTCGGCCGGCGCGCCAGGGCGGGGCGGGGCGGCGACGGCGACGACGGCGCGGCGACGACGGCGACGGCGACGGCGACGGCGACGGCGACGGCGACGGCGACGGCGACGGCAACGACGACGGCGGCGGCGACGACGGCGGCGGCGGCGGCGACGGCGACGACGACGACGACGACGACGACGACGACGACGACGACGACGACGAACAACGACGAAGAACGACCAGTACGGAAGCGGCGGCGGCGGCGGCGGCCACGGCGACGGCGACGACAAACGACGACGACGACGATGACGACGACAAACGACGACAAACGACGACGACGACGACGACGGCGGCGGCGGCCACGGCGACGGCGACGGCGACGACGACGGCGACGGCAGCGGCGGCGGCGGCGGCGACGACGACGGCGTCGACGGGGCGAGGCGGGGCGTCTGCGCCCGCCTGTGGCACGACTTGTTCTGCCCCGAAGCTCGAAATCCCACCATCCCTCTGGGCTGACTGCCTACCAGACCACCCCAACCCAGCCCGAAGACCCGAATTTCGGGTGGGGGGGGGGTAAGGGTTCCACGTGTGCTTTTGTTCGAGGTTTCCCGACCCCCCCCCCACTGGAAATCGAGGGGTAAATCTGAGCCTTCGGGTTGGGCTGGGGGTGGTTTGGTGGGTGGTGATGGGCGCACCCCGAGATCCTGGCGTTGCAACTCCTTCGCAGCGGGCGTTTCTCGCCCGGCGTCGGGCCACGGGGCCCTCACGGATCGATCCCGCTCGGGAGGTGCCGCAGGAAGGATGGGGGTCTGGGGCTCACGGCGGGGATGTCTTACGGCGTGCCCATGTCTTGACACGTCGGATCTCTCTGGGTTGGTGGCTTCACGGACTCGTGTCTGCTCGCTGCTAAAACCACCCCCTTTCCGCTGCTCGGGGGAGGGGTTCACGTGCGGGCGGAGACGGTGCCTGGATCGCTGCGCCCTATCAATCAGCACCCCCTCCCCCAAGGCGACCGGCAGCAAACCCTGACCAATAAGCCCACCCACCCCACCATGCCTGATAAGAATCATACATAATGCATTTTGCCTCCAAATCTGGCGCATACACGGGCGCCCCGCGACCACTTTGCGTTGGTTTTTGATAGGGACGGCAGGGGTGCCAGCAAGGCCAGCCATCCCTTTCAGCAAAAAAACAAACATGCACTTTGTCTACAGGTCCGGAGCATGCGCAGGGCCCTCTTTTCTCTGAGCTCTCATCTGTTTCACGAATCCTCAAGATGTCACAATTCATCAATCGGTGCCGGACATTGCGCTCACCGGAAGAGTCGCCCTTCTCACAGAATGCTCGGCAATTCGCTTCAGGGGGACTCAAGATCCTGAACTCCTTGGGACCAGGGCCCCAGGCACCTGCGGTCGCTTTTGATTCCCCGTAGCCGGCGCACCTGGCGCGTCTGGAGCACGTGGCACCATTGGCACACGTGGAGCATGTGCCGCACCTGGCACGCTTGGGCCTCCAGGGTGTCTGGTGCACCTGGAACCCGTTGCGCGCATGGCATGTGTTGGTTTCTTAAGCGATCTGATGACACTCGGGTGTTACCTATGTGTTGGGAGGGCGGATGGGAGTGAGCTAGACGGCTTGCTATTTGGCGGGGTAGCTTGACTACTGCTCCCGATTACTATACACCCCCTCCCCCACCCGGCCGGCGGCCAACCCCAACCTGGAACCACACCAACCCCATGAGGGCCACCCCTCCCACCACCCCTGTCAAAAAACAATACAAAACGCACCCTGCCTCCACATTCTGAGCATGGGCGGCCGCCCCGCGAGCATTTTGCATTGCATTCTAGAGGGACGGCTGGGGTGCCAGCAGATCCCACCTGCCTTCCGGGCGCGGGTGGCCGACCGACTGGCTCGACACATCAGTGGCTGCTGCCTTTTCGCCTTCCCGCTTCCGATGGGCTCTCGAAACCTCCGCACGGCTCCAGAACTGGCCGAGAGAGCCCAAAGCAGGGCCCAAGGAGGAGGAGGAGGAGGGGGGAGGAGGAGGGGGAGGAGGGGGGGGAGGAGGAGGAGGAGGAGGAGGAGGAAGGAGGAGGAGGAGGAGGAGGAGGAGGAGGAGGAGGAGGCGCACCTGGCGCGGCTGGAGCACGTGGAACGCCGAGCGCACGCGGAGCGCGCGCCGCACCGAGCGCGCGCCTGGCACGCGTGGACCTCTCCAGGGCCTGGCGCATCTGGAACCCGTGGCGTCTGCGGCGCTCTTGCGCGACGTGGTGCGTTGAAGGGGCCCAAGGACACACAAATAAATACACACAAATCAAATAATCCCCCATATTTTCCCATATTTTCTGGGTTTCTGTCTTCCCGCCCACTTCCCATATTGTCCCACATTTTCTGGGAAATCGAGGATTAATTGTGTCTGTGTGTGTGTCTTTTCCTCCTGATGAGTGCCCGGGTGTCACGCATGTGTTGGGGAGGGCGGGCGGGAGCGAGCAAGACGGCTTGCGGGCGGGCGGGAAGCTTGACCCCTTCCCCCTGCCCCCTCCCCATGGGCCTGGGCGGGGGGGCCGGCGTGTCGGAGGATGCTTTGTGGTCAAAGATGGCTTCAAGAGGGCCTCCGCGAGTCCAAGATGTCTCCAAGATGGGTCAAGATACCTCAAGGTGGCTCAAAATTGCCTCCGACGCGCATCCAAGAGCCTCAAGACGGCCCCAGGATAGTGCCGGCTGAGCCCTCCGAGGATCCCCCCCGAGGCCAAAATAGCTCCGAAGCCTAGGGAAAATGAGTGTGTTCTGCCTTATCGTTTTTTCGCTCCCGATGGGCTTGTGAGGCATCCGGATGGCCCCAAGACGGCCCAAGAGGGACCCAGGAGTGGCCCAAGAGGGCCCCAAGAGAGCCCCAAGAGCGCCCAAGAGCGCCCAAGAGCGCTCCAAGAGCAGCCCAAGACGCCATTTTTGAGACTCCAGGGGAGGGGGCCGAATTGATCAACCCGCCTCTTTTTTGAGCCATGGGGCCCAAGAGGCCTCCCAGACCTCTCCAACTAATTAGCCCAAAGAGGGCCCCAAGAACCCCAAAACGAGCCCCAAGAGGGCCCCAAGAGAGCCCCAACAGGCCCCACGGGGACCCCAAGAGAGTCCCTGAGATGACCGCAATCGTCCTTCAAGAACCTCTCACAACAACATATTTCCAAAGCCTGATTTCTCATCCTCCTTGTCATTGTCCGTTCGTTCCCTCCTCCTTTCCTGCCTCCTCCCTCCTCCTCCCCCCTCCTTCTCATCCTCCTTTTGTTCTTACTTATCGTACCATTCTGAATTAGTATTGATCATATTCCTACAAGAATTCGAGGCTGCCGGGCGCTCGATAATGAAGGTTTACCGGTATTTTTGCCATGTCTGTTGCTTCGAAATTCGAAGACCGAGGCTTGCGGGCGCTCGAAACAGGAGGTTTCCGGGCTTTTCTGTGATGCCTTTCTTCGAAATTCAAACTTCGAGGATTTCGGCGCTCGGAAGTAGGAGGTTTCTGGGCGTTCTCGCGGGCTCCCCATGGCGGTCGAGCCTCGGGCTGGCTTCCAGCAGCTGCGCCTCGCCGAGCGGCGTCCAGGGGTGTCCGCCGCTTGCCCGGGGGCGAAGCGGCGTTTGAGCCATTTGGCTGTCCCCGTCCCCCTTTCCCCCTCCCCTGGGTTCCAGGTGCCAGGATCTAGGCTCTAGGCTCCAGGTTCTGGGCTCTGGGTTCTGGGTTCTCTAGGTCCTGGGTTCTAAGCTCTAGGATCTAGGTTCTAGGTTCTGGGTTCTGGGTCCTAGGTTCTGGGATCTAGGTTCTAGGTTCTGGGTTCTAGGTTCTGGGTTGTCCTCGCGCGCGCCCGCGTAGGGGCACGAGGTCTGGGAAAAGGACGCACAGGCAGCCACCAGCGACGACGGCGACGGCGGCGGGCGAGACGGCGACGGCGACGACGACACGACGGACAACCGACGGGACACCCACAGCGTCGCGCCCAGGCGACGCCGACGGCGATGCCGCTCGAGGGGGGGGGAGGCGGGGGGGACGAAGGGGGGCCAGCAGCTCCCAAACGCATCCCCTTAGCCTCCGGAGCCTCTCCTTCGCGGCGCGCACGAGGGGGCAGAGGGAGGGGGGAAGGCTTCTTGGAAGGGGGCTGCTTCTTGGAAGGCACCGGATTTCTGAGGAGCAGGGGTGCTTCTAAGAAGCCCTCCCCCCTCCCCCCACCCCCCTCTGCACGTGGCCGCTCTCCTGAGCCCCAAGACGGAGGTCCAAAACGGAAGCCCAAGATGGCCCCAAGATGGCCCAAGAGGACTCCCTCCAAGACGCCCCAAGAAGCCTCCAAGAGGCCTCTCAAGAGGCAACGAGGCAAACATCTGTGATTTCCATTTGCCTTTTCGGCTCTCCGACGCGCCTAGACGGCCCAAGACGCCCCTTAGACCACCCCAAAACGGCCCGAGAGACCTCCAAGAGGACCCCAAAACAGCCCGAGAGCGCCCCAAGACGGCCCGAGAGGCGCCCAAGACGGCCCCAAAAGGGGCCCAAGAGAGGGAACACGAACCGAAAATCCGAGCCTTCCGTCCCAAGAGTCCCCCAGGAGGCCCCAAGAGGCGCCCAGGGGGCCCCAAGAGGCCCCCAAGAGGCCCCCAAAAGGCCCCAAGAGGCCCAAAAGAAGCCCCAACACGCCTCAAAACGGCCCCTAAGATACCTCCCACGAGATCCCAACACTGCTCTACTTGGGGGTCGGCGGACGGAATGGCGTTAGCCTCTTGAATATCCGACGATAGATTGTTTCAGTCTGGGCGTTCTTCCTTGATTTCGGCCCGCTCGGCTCCAGACTGGCAATCAGCGCGTGATGATCGTGGTGGTCGTGCTGACCGTGATCATCACGACGAGAACGAGTGTGCGAGGGGGGCCGGGAAGAGGCCGGTGAGGGGCAGGGGGAGGAGGTGGAAGGAGAGAGGGCAGGAGGAGGGAGGAGAGGGGAAGCAGGAGTTCTGGGGGCAGCAGCCGCGAGACAACAGAGGAAAGGGCACACGCTGCTAGGGGCAGGAGGAGAGGATGCGGAAAGGGCGCCCGCTGCGTGTTAGCCAGGAGGGGGGCCCACGAAGTAGGGACGCCGGGGGCCAGCTGCTGCCACGCGGAAGCGCCAGGGGCGAGGAGGGAGAGGTCGGCGTCGCGACCGTCTGCAGGGGCCGGCGCCACAGCGCGCCGGCCCCCGGGAGTCCTGCAGAAGCGAGGGAGAGAAGGAGGGAGGGAGGGAGGGAGGGGGGGGGGAGTAGTTAGCAGAAGGAGGTGAGTGAGGGAGCGGGGAGCGAGGGAGGAGGGAGGGACGGCGAAGCGAGGGAGGGAGGGGAGGGCTCGAGCATGATCGGACGCGCCCGACGGAGCTGTGGCCTCCGGGCGCTCGGAGGCCCAGAGGCGGCCAGGGGCATCCAGCAGCCGCGGCCTCGACGTGCCCGGTGCGCCGACGGCGGGGGCCGGGGAGAGGGCCCGCGCATCGTGGTCCCGAGGCACGTGCGCGGACCAAAGGGGGCCAGAGGGCGCATCGGTAAAGGCGAAGAGGACGGAGGCGAAGGCGCGGACACGGACACGGGCACGAGCACGGACGCGGCCTGCGTCGTGCAGCGCGCGGGTGCTGCAGGGGCGGGGCCGAGGCGCCCAAGATGCAGGACAGGGTGAAGCGCCAGCCAGCCTGGGCTCTCAGAGGTGGGGGTCGGAGCCGGAGGAGTTGGGGTCGGCAACGAAGAAGAAGGGAGCCTCGAAGTCTGGGAGAATGCATGCTCGAGGCGGACACTTGACCATAATCCACCGCCCGAGATGCGATGTCCTGCCGCCCCAGCGGGCGGCGGATGTGGGGACGTGTTGGCCCCCGGGGGTCCGAATAATTCTGTCTGGATCCTCCGCCCGCCGAGGTCCCCGAAGGTCTGGTCCCCCACAGGCGGTGGTTGTGTACATAGGTGTACGGTGGAGGCCCGACCACAAGAAACCTTCCACAAGAAGCCCAGCCCTGAGACCCCGGGACGTCCATTGGGTTTTGGCGTGGGCACGTCACGCTTTCCACGGCAAGACCATCGAAACCCAAGAAACCCGGGGCACCCTGGCAAGCAGGGTGTTTCTTGGCATGGGCCTCCACTGTGAATCCCCGCCTCAGACCATGGCCCCGGCCATGACATTCGGGGCAGGGCTAGTTGAGGCAACGGCACCTCAGTCGGTCCCCGAGCCCCTCACAGGGTCCAGAGGCACCAGTTTTCCGAGCTGCGTCCAGCCGTGGCGTCGAAGGGGGCCCCCGAAGGCCAACGACTCTTGCCTCAACCAGCCCTCCTTCTGTCGTCCACGCACGGTAGGTTCGTCCGCGTCGATCGTTCAACCTTGAATCGATTGCGGCCCTGATCGTTCACAGTTGAACTCTGTCGGGTCCAGGAGCGTTACCGCGTCTCTCAGTGCTGCCGCGCCGCAATAGCCGGCATCACCGGCGCGCCAACGCCGCACGAGCCTACCGCATCCCTCCTCCTCAGTGACCCCCGCGGCGCGTCGCGGGGAGGAGCTGCCCCCCTCGGCCGACCGCCAGGGAGGCGTACAGCCTGGGCACCACCGCCGGCTGCCAAGCCTCCCCGGGCCGCTCCCGCGCCCGCCTTCGCCGTCGCGCCGCAGCCGCCGTCCTCGTCGTCGTCGCCGCCGCCGAAGTCGGAGTCGTCGCCGTCGTCGCCGCCCCCTGCCGTCGTCGTCGTCGTCGTCGTCGTCGTCGTCGTCGGCGTCGTCGTCGTCGTCGCCGTCGCCGGCGTCGGCGTCGGCGTCGGCGTCGGCGTCGGCGTTGGCGTCGTCGTCGTCTGGTCGTCGTCGCCGCCGCCGCCGAAGTCGGAATCGTCGCCGTCGTCGCCGACGGCCACGCCTCCGCTCGTCCAGGCCGTCCAGGCCCGAGCAGAAGCGCCGGGAGCTCTCCTGGTCGCGTCCTCGCCGCCGCCACGTCGCCGTGCTCCCCATCTGCGCTACCGCCGCCGTCCTCGCCGTCGTCGTTGTCGTTGTCGTCCTCGTCGTCCTCGTCGTCCTCGTCGCCGCCGTCGAAATCGTCACCGTCGTCCTCGTCGTCGTCGCCGTCCTCGTCCTCGAGTCCTCGTCGTTCTCAAAGTCGTCGTCCTCCTCGTGCTTCCTCCAGGAGTGGGCAACAAGGGTGGGGCGGACGGGCCAGGGTGGGGGTGGGGGGTGTTGGGGGGGGGGAGGGGGAGGGGCAATCCCTGAACTCTGAGCCGTCCTGGAACAAACTCGACGGGCGCCTCTTCCCCCTTCGAACTCCCAGACCGCACAGGAGCACCGTGTCGGGACCCCGGGGCCCTCGCGGATGGGTCGCGGACCGCGGGGTGCCGCCCGCGGGGGGAGCGGAGGGCTCCCTGGGTCCAGGTCGATGCCACTCCCCCCCCCCCCGGAAAGGAGCACTCAGGGCCAGGGATGCCTCTGCAGGTACCCAGGGAAAGGGACACGGGCGTTCGAG